TATATTCCAGTAATATCTTCCGATGAAGTTTTACACTCTTTAAAAACCTTAAAAGCGTCATTTAGGCCTGGACCTGATCATATTCCGACCTGTTTTCTTAAAAACTGCGCTGAGAACATCTGCGAGCCTTTAACAACTCTATTCAATTTGTCACTTAAACATGGCGTTTTTCCGTCAGCCTGGAAGGAGTCTTTCATAATACCACTTCACAAAAACGGCAGCAGGTCGTCTATAGAAAACTATCGAGGCATAGCGAAACTCTCTGCTATCCCCAAATTATTCGAAGCAATTATTGTTAACCAGCTGACATATTCTATATCTTCTTCAATTACACAATCTCAACACGGGTTTTCTAAAGGAAAATCTACTATTACTAATTTATTGGAGTTTACAACTCATGTCTCAAACGGCTTTAGAGAAAATGCTCATACCGACGTAATTTACACCGATTTCAGTAAAGCTTTTGACAAAGTATGTCACTCGTTACTCATCCGTAAACTCGACCTAATCGGCTTTCAGCCCAGTCTCCTTCAATGGATCTCATCTTACCTCTCTGATAGAACACAAAGAGTTATTGTTAATAATTGTTCTTCCAACATTATTAAAGTTTCTTCAGGAGTTCCTCAGGGAAGCCACCTTGGTCCGATTCTGTTCCTGATATTCATTAATGATATTTCTTCTATAATAAAACATTCAAAAATTTTAATGTATGCCGATGATGTGAAACTTTTTAAAACATTGTCCTCTATCGAAGAAAGGTCTTTGTTACAAGCGGATCTGAACAACGTGGTTAGTTGGTGTAATACAAACTATATGCCACTAAACCTTCAAAAATGTAAAGTTATGTGTTTCTCTCGGAGGGCTGTTCAACCAGCTGTTTATTCAATATCAAATTATAATCTGGAACAGGTATCCAATTTTGTCGATCTTGGTATCACAATGGATTCCAAACTCAATTTCAACCATCATATTAATGTTACAGTCAATAAAGCCAAAGGCGTTTTTGCATTTGTAAGGCGATGGTCAAAAGAGTTCAAAGATCCTTATGTTACAAAAGCTCTTTTTACCAGTTTAGTTAGACCTATACTAGAATACGGATCTATTGTTTGGAATCCCCGCTACCAAGTTCATTCAGAAAGGATTGAATCAATTCAAAAACAATTCTTGCTTTTTGCATTGCGTAATTTTAACTGGGATTCAGATTACAATCTCCCCCCTTACACAAGTCGTCTAAAGCTCATAAATTTGCCTACACTCGCAAGTCGTAGAGAAATGCTGGGTATAATATTTATCGTAAAATTAATGACAGGCTTGATTAATAGCCCGGCCCTCCTGGCTGAGGTAAATTTTAATGTTCCTTCTCGAGTGTCAAGACACTTTCGACCTCTATTTTTAAAGCCATGCAAAACTAATTTTGAACTAAACGAATCATTCCGTGGTTTATGTCAAGATTTTAACTGTCATTCCAGCACGTTTGACGTATCGGACTCGATTTTTACTATAAAGAAAACCATTATTTCCACTCTCAATAATTGAAATACTATCTTTAGCATATCCAATCAGCTGATGAATTTGATTCTGTAGCTGAATAGTTTTAGATCTCGACACTTAACAAACTCTTGTTTCCACTACTCGGCACGAAAAAACTAAAAAAAAACAAAAAAAAAAAAGTTTCCGTACGTCATGCGGACTGCGCCCCTCGTGTCGGTTGGGCGGGAATGGAGGGTAAAAAGCCGTTGGGATTAATTAATAAAAAAAAAAAAAAAAAAAAAAAAAGTCTCAAAAAAAAATCTTTGAAGACTTAAAAATATTTATCTCTCTGATAATTAATATGAAGGACTTTTATGTAATGTAAGTTCTTCAATAATAATTATAGATGACTCGAAACATTTGTATCTTAATATAATAATTATTGATTGACTTTTATTCTTTTCTCTTATAATAGTTATGTTTCTGATTTTAATTTTTCCGTTATAAATAGTAGATTCAATATTGATATGCGAATAAGAATTATCATTATCTGATACCAGATTTGAGTTCAGCAACCACGAAAAGCCCCGAATCTCAAATTTCGCGCAAAAATATTGAATTAATAAAAAAATCGTCCTCCATGATTTTCTTTTTTGGTACCAAACTTAGACTGCGCCACTTTTCGGTATTTTATTACCAATAACAGTAACAATAAGATATGAAATTTTATATAAACTTTGTCGATCACCCCATGTTAAAATTCTTGAAACCTACCTATGCTCCTAACTTCAGTTAAGCCTTTGGTGGAAATAGAACATTAGATTATAATATTGTAATTGGTCTTTATCGGGTTGAGGTAAATCAACTGGTTGTTCTGAAATTTATGTAATGATCGTTCCCACATATGCAATATGGATGGTACGACTACTGTGCCCCTCTTAACGGCTTACCTCGTCAGCCCCGACTCCATCCATTGCTTCAGCACCGTGTCATTAAAACCATTGATTTGGCCCGCACACAGGAACTTCAAATTTGGTATTTTCGTCAACAGATCAATAAGGCATTCAGACGACAAATCAGTGGCGGTTATGTCTAGCTCCTGCAAGGCGCATTTATCCCATTCAACCTGCATTACATATTCCGACTTCAGACTAGTACCGTTCATTAGCAAGCAGTTTAATCGTTTCGAACGCTGTATTAGTGTTTTCAGAGTGCTGCCAGTCACCTTGTTGCAAAAGTTCACAGCCAAACACTCCAACTGAATACAATTCGAGCTGAAGGCATCAATATGCGAGTCGTCAATAAAATTAATGCCATACAAATTGATCACACGCAAATTGGGCGTGGCCGATTTGAGTTTATGCACATTGATAACTTCGTATATCTCCTCTTCCTCCTCTTCGCACTTCTCGTAGGTGCCGATGAGGTGCAAAACCTCCAAGCCATTGATGAAATTGTAAATTTTACGCATGAAGCCCTCCATGAAGATCACCTCTGAAAGGCAAATGCACATGTAGCGCAGCTTGGTGGGAAAGGCCTGCATCTCGCTGAAATCATGCAACTGCATGGCTGCAAAGATACGAGTGATACATAGCTTTTGATATCTGCATCAATCGCATATATGTATATGCATACAACAACTCACCTGTGGAGAAGTCCAGCAGCATATGGGTGAGATTTGGACACTTGGCAGAAAGCTCATGCAGCACTGTATGCGTAATCAGCTCGATTGGCAGCTCAATGTAGCGCAATGTGGGACCGAAACGCACAGAGATGAGTGCAAGCAAAGATTCCAGCGAACCAACGTGTAGGCCAGACACCTCCGGGCGTAGTGAAACATTTTTCCAGAGACGTGTGTCATAGGCGATCTGACGCCAGCGTCGACAGATGCGCGCCAATCGACAAATTTCACGATGCGACAGGTAAGAGAAGATGTGCAGCAGCACCTTGTCGGGCAATTTTTCGATTGTCTGAAACGCAACAAAAGAGCATTATACATATGTATGTATGTAGTCTGATAGTTGTAGGCAACTTCAAGGTTACTGCAATAAATAGGCCACTTTATGATTTTGAATAGATGAGTACAGAGCAAGCAACTGAAGAAAAATAATATTTCGAATGCACCCCCGACAAAGCACAAAAATAGCATATAACGCAACTACATACATATGTATGTACATACATACATACATACATCAGTGTGTTCAAAATGTATGGTCTGCACTATAGCACAGTTAGTGGCATTTGCCGCTAAAGCAACTGATAGTCACATCAATTCTTCAAATTTCTACAAATTTATACTTATCATACCGTATTTGCGAAGGGCGAACGTACGGTACCATCGGAAAGGTACACCTGCGACGCCTCGACAGCCAGTTGACCCCAAATATCAGTTGACAAATCCATTTTAAATTGTATGCACTTTTGGTTTTACTCCAATTTACTTTAAATATTTCGATTTTAGCAAAATAATAGCAGCACAAATTTACCTGCACACCTGTCTTATGTAAAAATGTTGCCTTCTTTAGTGCCAAATCTCAACACAAATCACAATGAACGCAATGTTTCCTACGAACTGCTGGCACAGACGGATCCTCCATAATGCTCGCAGTAATAGCGAAGAGCGCATAGTGTACTTTATTTTTAGATTATTTTGAGAGATTGTTTGTGTTTTCACAACAACGAATCTGAGATCTTGCCAGAGATCTTCTTCTACCGACAAAACCACCGACAGTGCCCCAACAACGTGTTCTTTTATCACCGTTCGGTCAAACACCTCGATCGGTGAGAGCAAAACTATGTTGCATAGTACAAGCATGTACATATGTATGTATGTATGTAACCACATGGATAAATTTGTGTTTACATTCTATTTATGCGTTGTCTTAACCCTAATTTTACCAACATGTGTTTGTGAGACACATTTTGTTGTTTAACTTGATGTTTCTACGTTATTCATTTAAAATATAGTTCGATCTATAACAGAAACCACAGAAATAAAAGTTTCAAAATTTCCACAAAGTTCATAAAAATGAATCAAACTTCAAAAAATGTTCATCAAAATTTCCAACTTTTTATTCAGAATTTTTAAACAATTTTCGAGTATGCCGTTTTATAGCCCATTAAATAAATATAATAAGTGCAAGTTTCAAGTCACTAAAAATTACCGTTGAGGTGTTGCGCTTTTTCTTTCATATAAAATTATATTTTGTTCATACGTTACATGGAAGAAAATTCTGAACACCCTCAACAAAAAAAAAAATCCAATGTTTAACGTACAGGTCTCTTATCTCGTTGGACTTGGACTCCTCGGATAATATTTCAGATGAAGCGTTGCAGAAATTCCTCATGCGCCATGGCCAACAGTTGGCCGCATGCTGTCTCTCTGGCATGCCACATATTACCGATCAGCTCTGGATGAGCATATTGCCTGTGCTGTCGAATGCAAAGTAAGTGCTGAATTTCACAATTTCAAGAATAACTGTATATGATGAATTCGTTCCGGAAGAATTATTGTTATGGGAACAGCGGAAAAACTTGGCGTCAATATACACGTCGATCAATTAATGGATACGATTGCGTCGAGCTGTGGAAATTTAGAGCGATTAGAGCTAAGATGGGATCCGGATAATTTGCGTTTCTCAGACAAGAGTCAAAAAGCCATTGATTTACTCCGTGTCAAAGGTCTCAAGTTGCGCTGCATGGTTTTGAGGTGAGCTTTAGTTTTTCCAATAATTAATTTATTTAAGTATTATGATGGAATTTAATTATATATTTTCTTTTTGTGATTAAGTGATGGTCGATACTATGAGACGGTGAAGGCGAATTTCGAGCGCGCCGATCGTGTAACTGTCGTACGCACTACGACCTGTTGCCGCGTATCACCTTACCATTTGTTGCGCAATTACAATGAATTGATTTTCAACTAAGAACGTAATAGAATTATTCAGTGTTGTTGTTTTACTGGCCATTTTTTGTGAACTGAAATGTTATTGTTGCTTTTTTAAATTAAACTAAAATAAATGTATTTCTCAATAAAATCAATTTACTACATATGTAGGATATATTTTTAAATTTAATTTATTGGATTGGGAATGCAAAAAAATTTACACAAAGGCTTTATTTCAACAAAAGCTCTATTGTGTCTAATGTAGAAGAAAAAAATGTTTAGCCAGCCATAAAAGTTTTAATTAAACGAGAAAAATTGGATTTACAGATTTTCTATCACAATAAACCGTTATTTTCAGATTTAAAGTTTTCAATCAAAAATGATTCCCAAGAGGCCATAAGAGCGCAAGTATGAACCAGCCGGCTTAGTCTAAATTAAAAAAAATATTTTTCGTCGGGGGGGAAAAAAAAAATTTGGTGCCTTTGTGAATTAAGATAACGACATATATATTAATTTTTATAGAACAGGCTAATAGAAGATGGTCTGTAGAGCCCACATGCAGGATAGCACGACACATCTGGCCTGAATACGATAGAAGATCTGGAGTACTCTCGGGCTTGAATCACCAATGCTCGATATATAATCGGGGTTACAGCCCGATGAAGACGCTTGCCAACAATCGAGTGACCTCTGTCGTCTTTGCCGCGATGTAGAGGAAATTGAGAATGTAGCTATCTATGACACAGCCCTGCTTTGACGAAGGCTCGTGGACATTCGTACCAGCACTGCTTTTTTTGGAGCGTCTGGCCGAATTGAGTACAGCTATTTAGCATATATGTACGTATGTTAGATTTCGTGACTTTCATCATAACGACGAATCGGTTTCACCTCTAGGGCCTATGAGCCTATGGCGGCCCTAAGTAAGCTTTCTTCAATTGAATGGTCGCCGCGAATAACGTAATGTAAGCGACAAGATTATAATATTGCAGAAATAAAAAGAAAATGTGTATAATGACGCACAGAAATAAGCTAATTCTTTTGGTTTTCTACTTTTTCGGTATAGAAGTATCCAAGAAACTTACTGTTACAGTATAAAATATACTATATGTACAATGTAACTGTAAAGTTAAAGAAACTAGTGACAAGAAAATTATCGATTACAACGTTATTCGCGGCGACCATTCAATTGTTTGATGGGGGCTGTCACGATAACAAAACCCACGCATGTATGTATGTATATTCAACAACTATTTTAAAAATAAAATAGTA